AGAAATCATAAATAGGCATATAGTTCATTTCAATCCGTGCCATTCGGCTCCTTTCGCAGGTGTCGAACCCTTGATGTCGCCATGCCCTGGGCTTCAGTGGAAACGGCCAGAAATCACGGGTCGCAGATCAAAGGTAAACTGGGATACTTCACGCTTGTCCAGACTCCATGCGCGATCTCCTGACTCACCTGGCAGTTGTAGCTTTTTGCGCTTTGTTTTGCACAAACAGAGTCGCGCTGTCAAACTGTACATGATACGTCACCGGCGATGCACGCTCGGTGGACGTGGGGTTTCCCTGCGCCGTCACGCGCGTGCAGACAAAAGGCGCTCCTCGTGGACATAACGGCAGTACTGTGCGTTTGCGCGGAGGTTTTCAGTGCAATAACATCGATTTCGCAACTTCTTTCCAATTAGCGCGAGAGGCCAAAACAGTGGAGTTCTACACTCTAAGCGAAATCTATCTTCATGTGATTTGTTTGGGTGCGCGAGATGGGCTTCACAAGGGGGCGCGGCGCTTTTTACCCATATTTAGTCAGACTGTCTTTGAAGCATCCCAGCAGTGAGATCTTCCAGCCTCCTCCCCATCAATCCCTTTCATTCACTATCGGCAAATGGTCATAAGGCGAATGCACACATGACACACTTTCACAAGGTGCAAATGCAATAATTAGGATGCATTTGTGCTTTTTTTTCTTCTTCAATACACTTCCAACCATGTCTGATTTACTGTTGAAAATAAACCCACTAATACTGAAAAGGTTAGTTTAATTGCTGCATCAAAAATCAAAGAGAAAACTGCAGTTCATTGCACTTTATCAATCATTTTGAATTGCATTATTGATGAAGAAAATAGTTTCAATTAAAAATCATAAAATGACTGAAATGAGTAATGAATACATTGTTAGGTGGTTAGAATTTTAAATTTTACTTGGAAATGTAAAATGGCTACAGAATAGATTGAGTGCATTTAGAAATAAATAATATCCGAAAATATTTGATGTAAGAAAGTATATATAAAATAAAGTTTTAAATATCAAACCAGTGTGTTTAATAAATCTATCCACTTAAGTAAAAACAGCTGTTCATTACACCTTTTTATGATACAAAAAATTGCTACAAACATTTATTAAAGAAATAATTTGTCATGAAATGTGAAAGAAGATTTTCTTTGGCAATAATAATAATTAATTTCTTTATAATCAACAGAGCTAGTATAATAAAGAGCATTTCATTAAAATGCAAACAGTAAAGCCTGAAAAAAGTAATAAATCATAACATAATTTAAAGGCTGTACAGAATGTAGATCTCGTAGAGCTTTAGGAAATATTAAATAGAAAAGATTCGGTCATATAATGACAAGCTACATGAAGAACACTGGACAAATACGAGGACGCAGCATCTGTCCATTCATCAGTGGCCATTCAGCGTCTCGACAGGTCTCCGCCTGCGGAAAGTGGAAAAGCAGATGAACAAATCTGTGAATTTGGCAGCTCTGGGAGTATTTTAACCTGGAATCTTGATTCATACCTTTCTGAAAGTTCACTGTATGCCCTGAGCATAAGCTGCACATGACAAATTAATTGAATATGCATTCAGTGGCCTGAATCAGAGTCAGCACCCATGGTAACATTTAGTCCCTGAAACACTGCAAAAAGTGATTCTTACTCATTATTTTTGTCTTGTTTTGTTACTTGAGATGTAAAGTAATACAATTTAATCAGATTTGGAGAAATGTAGCATTGCATCACTTGCTCACCAATGGATGCTCTGCAGTGAATGGGTGCCGTCAGAATAAGAGTCCAAACAGCTGATAAAAACATCACAATAATCCACACCACTCCAGTCCATCAGTTAACATCTGGAGAAGACAAAAGCTGGAACAATTCCATCAATACGTTTTTAACTAAAATACGAGTCCGTAATCTATAATAATGCTTCCTCCAGTGAAAAAGTCTGAACCAGGAGAGAAATCTGCACAGAGCAAGCATCATTTACAAGCCAAAACAGTTCTGAACAAAAATGTGTGTGGTTTTTGATGTGAGACAACAGGAGATTCTTTTTTGGGGGGGGGGGTATTATGGACACATATTTTAGCCAGAAGCATCTTAATGATGGATTTGTTTCAGCTTTTGTCTTCTCCAGATGTTAACTGATGGACTGGAGTGGTGTGGATTATTGTGATGTTTTTATCAGCTGTTTGGACTCTCATTCTGACGGCACCCATTCACTGCAGAGCATCTATTGGTGAGCAAGTGATGCAATGCTACATTTCTCCAAACCTGATGAAGAAACAAACTCATCCTAATCTTGTGTGGCCTAAAGGTGAGTACATTTTCAGCTAATTTTTTTTTTTGAGTGACCTATTCCTTTAAGTGGGTTTATGCCTAAAACAAGACAAAAATGAAAAATTAACTTGTGTTTTTCCTTAGAATAAAGTTTATTGGCATTTTTTTTTTTTCTTGTATTAAGCATGAACTTAATTTTGATACTTTTTTTTTTTCTTTTTTTTTAGAAAACAATACTTGTCATTGTGCATCTCAAGTGGGTCAAATGGATCTTGATTTAAGAATGTTTAGATATTTGTACTGGAAAACAATAGAAATGAAAAGACTTAGGAAGAAAAACATTTTTGCAATGCATCATTATATATTTAACCAACATAACTGCAAGCAGTGATGACAAACAGATGTCAGCCTGGTAAGTTCTTGCTTATTGGTTGGAAATTGTAATTACGACGTGACTTGGTTGGAATAAAACTGACATCTCAAGCTATTTCATATTTCACTCTTTTTCACTTCTCAACAAAGACAGGAAGCTCTTAGCGCTAGTGCCAAACAATAAAGAGCAAAGGAAGTGCATTATGTGTGTAATTGATGCTTTGTGTGTATTTTATCATTCTTGTGGTGCCACAGGGAATTATGGGAAATAGTGTGGTCGCGAAAGCCTGTCGCCTCATGAAGTGGCTAAATGACTGTTCTAGGAAGCTTTATGGCTGTTTTTCATCAACAATACATAATGCACTCAAGCTAAATTGAACAACATTCACAATGGCAGTTTAATTACGATCAGTATATCAGATTCTTTAACTGGCACGCCCTCCACTTGAAGAAAATCCACAGTTTCCACACTGGTGCCGTTCATTTGAGCCCGTCTCGTAAACCCCATCATAATGTCACGACTTGAAAGTTGCATAAGTCAGACAGACGATCTCTTCTGGGCCCAAAAAAATTTGCTATTCAAACGTTATTTCATTTTTCGAACAAATTTTGCAGCATTGTCTACACAGCCCACGAGCGTATCGGTAAATATCAATCTGCATGAAATGGCTCCATGATGCCGTACGATAAAAAATGCGACCCCTCTAAGTGAAGTCCCAGAGATTCAATTAGCTAATGAGATCAATCGCAGTGATGAATGACTAAACACTGACGAGAAGCAGCCTGATGAAATTAGGCATGTAGGAAACGCAGCGTACATTACAATGAGGGTGGCACCGTCTCATTACAGCCTGCTCATTATAGCATGAGAACATCATGTTTTGGTTATGAATTTATCTTTGACATAATAGAAATACTGCAGACCCTTCAGAGATGACCATTAAACATCATGAATAATTCATGTACGCCAACGTCAATGAAGTTAATGAGAAGAGTTTGCTGATATTAATTACATAAATGGTTACTTCACCCAAAAATCATCTACACACCCTCAAGTTGCTCCAACCTCATATCATATTCTTTCTTTTCTCTGTGAAATACAAAAGGAGACATTCGGCTCAATGTCTGAGCTTCTGTTTTTCATACAGTGAAGTTATACTTGGAGAAAAAAGCACAACAAAAGCAGTTTGCAAGTCGTCTGAAGTCATACGATAGCTTTTTTTGTTATGGATAGGCTTGATTTTAATTGTTCTCCTGCATTATCAGTGAAAAACTGTTTACATTTCAGTCTGTTTCTCACCAAAAGTTTCTTTAAATTACTTTTTTCTACCAAATAATATTTCAACTATAAAGTAATACTTGTGTCTCTAAGTATATATATGCCCACACTGATTTATGAAATAAATGATTTGTAAGCCTAAATGCCTGTTTAAGTAATTACTGTGTGTCTACTCTGAAAATTGAAGTGAATTTGATCATTTTAGTTGGCTTTATTCTACAGTGCTTCAATTTATCTGTTTATTTTTGGAAAATAAAATATATTTTACATGGTAAATAGTCTAAAAATGTATGTATATGACTTTATGTGTATATACTTTTATATGTATATACTGAAACATTACTATTTGTTAGAAAAAAGTTCAAGAAAGCTATATGGGTAAAAACAAATAGACAAAAGTATTGAGTATTTATTAAGTATATTAATAAATTTAATTACAAGTAAAGTCATCTTCAAAAAAACCCTCATTAATTTAGCAGATAATTAATAATTCAATTGAATAATTCACAATAATATTGCCCCTGCAAAGATTTATTACATAACGTGCAAAACGTTTAAGTAATCAGTGAATCTACTCAACTAGTTGAATTGAATTTTATCAAATTAGTTGCTTTAATTTATAGTAGTTCAATGTATCCATTTATTTTTGGAAGATACAAAAATATATTTTGCATAGTAAATAGTCTAAGAATGTATGTATATGAATTATTGAGTACATATTTTGCATTTTTTTCTTATTGCAACAGTTTAACAAAATGTTTTTAAAAAGCTACAAACACTTGAAAAATAATGCACATTTTCAAGGTGCCTAAACTGTGTTTTTGGTCCTTTTTGGAGCTTGACAGTATAAATCCCCATCCACTTTTCTTGTATTGAAACAGAAGCACAGATATTCTGCCTAATATCATTTGTTTTCGTCAAAAGCAAACCCTTCTCTTGGGCCGTTTGTCCTCATAAACTGCCATGCGTTAACACCACGTCAATCTTTCCAAACAAAGCAGAGAGGAGATTCAACCCCTGATGTCAGAGACACAGAATGTTGTTTGAGGCCGTTTCCTCTGGCATTACCCACCCTGGCAGCTGGTGCACTCGCAGCTGTGTATGACGGGCAGAACGACGGGCTCGACGTCTCCGCTGGCGCACTGCAGGCTGAGGAAGCGCACGGGGTTCTGCGGGTCCAGCCTGTAGCTGCAGCAGTCACAGAACGCCTGCAGATACGGCTCCTGAGAGAGAGAGAGACACGTTATCAGAGGCCAGAACGGACAGGAAAAGAGCCAAACCCACGGATAACAATCCAAATTGTATTCACGCTACATTTGCCTAAATGCCAATGGCCTGCTCTTTTTGATGGAGCGGAATGGTGGGATCATTTAGAGCGTGTTCGCTCTCTCTGAGCCCATTAGGAGATGCAGAAGGAGAGGGCAGATGTGAAGACAAAAGAGGGAAAAGAGAGGTGCGAGTTTGCCGTTGAAGCTAGAGCGTGGCGACTGGGCAGACTGGTTTCCATGGCAACCTGACAGAAGTTTCCAGATCAAACACATTTTAAAATAGTTGCAGCAAACATTCACACTGATGAAACATTTAAATCAAGAACAAAGAACACAAGCCAGGTTCAATTTGGCGCTTTAGTGCTGTTAGAAATCAGTGACTGATTGTTATGTACAGCATGAAAAGGTACCAGACTTGATGGGGATTCGTTTGGGAGTTTAATATAGTATGAATCTGATCAAATATTTACCACAGTCATAAACAATCTGGATGAACTGTTATATTATTTACTGTGATACAAGGTTAGATCAATACTGTTAACCATAAAACATATTATGGGTGCATTATATATCCATCTTGACCAATATTAGGATTTATCTTAGATCATCAATGGTATGATATCAAGGAATATTATTTAAAAATAAATAATATAAACAGTAGTTTTAGAAGTAATAAACAGTTATCCATCTTTTCTACTGAAATAAGACAATAAATAAATAATTTTGATATCTTTTTTGTACAGCATGTAAAATTTATTTAGTTTTTATATATATTTATACATAATTTTGAATAATTTTCCTATCTATCTATCTATCTATCATATATCTTTATCACTCTCTCTCTCTCTCTCTCTCTATATATATATATATGTATATATATATATGTAGACTGATACATCCAAGATGAATTGAGGCATCATTTATTTATTGTTATTTCAGTGGAAAATATAACCGTTTATTAATTGTAAATCTAAAAAAAGTATAAAAATGCAATACAATGTTCCCTGATATCATTTAGTACACCATTGATCTATAATATGTTTTATGGTTAACAGTATTAATCTAACAATGTAATTAATATAACAGTGTATAGTTATTGACCAAACATTTTATGCCACCAGTATTAGGCAGACTTTCCACATTGATGCATTTATAACACACAATGCATCCAAAATCTATAAGCAGAATAATTCGTAAGTAGATAAGAATCTAGATTGATGCATACGTTAATAACCTGTGTAAGTTCATGCAGCACTTCACAGTTCAGAGATCAGAGTTCATGAACGACACGGCGACACACACCTCCAGAATGACATCGGTCCGGGACAAACAGCGCCCTCTGCAGAAGCTGACCTCCACGTTGTCCAGGCGACAGTCGCCCTTGGTGATGTTCCTGACCTCAGTGTAACGACGGCACTCGGCAACCGGATCCCCTGGAGACGAGAAAGTGATGTCCACAGGAGGAAATAGGACAGAAGAAGAGAGAGAGAGAGAGAGAGAGACAGCAATTAACAGAAGAACATACAGAAGAAGAATTACAATCAAAAGAATCACATTTGATTTAATGAAGGCTCTCAAGACAGATGAGAGAATAATCTTTGTTTTTGTTATGTTTCATTCAAATATAATAACTTGCCTCATCTCAGAAACCACTTGCAGCCTATTTTTCAACCACCTGTCATTTTCATCACTTTTCTCCATCCAACTGATTCCTGATAGATAAAATCTAAATATCCAGTTTCCCTCAGAAATACATCATATTACAGAAGTAAAGTGGGTTAAATTGCATTTCATGTTGACTTTAATTTACACTTATCATACAAAAAAATGAAAACATCCAAATGTATTAAAATTACCAACCCAAACATGCAAAATGATTCGTATAGTTTGAATAGGACAACTGATAATTTTGTAAATGCATAAACAACATTGTTATACTTTTTAATGGTAACACTTTACAATAATATAATAGCATTAGTTAATGCATTTAACTAAAATTAACTAACAATGAGAAATATATTTGTTACAGCATGTATTAATCTGTCAACGTTAATTAATAAAAATACAACAATTCATTGTTAGTTCACGTTAGCTAATAAATAATATTAACAGATACAATATTTGTTTATATTATTACAGTATTAGTAGTAGTAGTACAATATTATTATATTAATATAATTATAATATAAATTATATATTATTATTATTAATGTATTATTATATTATTCGTAGTATAATAATAATAATTATTATTTTAATAACATTTACAGAGTTAATTAATGTTAAAACCTTATTGTAAGGTGTAGGAATTGGGATAAATGTAAAAATAGGAATGTTTTCTATTACCAGTCACATAACTATATGACAGAATAGCACCATAGAGTTTCATTTTATTTGACTTCAACCAGTTGGAAAGCATTTCTTCCTGCATTTTAAAATTGATAATCCTATTATGTTTCCACTCTAACTAACCATGCATGATTATATGGCTAGTAGTATTTTAATATTTGCATTCAGCTTTGATTTATAAGATTCGCTCCTGCATTTGAATGTGGTTGTTACTCCTGAAACTTTCCAGTGCACTGCACGATTTGAGAGTTTTGGAACGTGTCAGCATTTTTATATCGCACAAATTACCCGAACGGATCCTTTCAGTGGAGAAGAACTTACACCGTCCTGCAATCTCTGGAATGTAGTTACACGGCTGGATCTGGAGTCGGGCTGTAGTTTGACTAGCTAAAGCTCCAGTATACTTAATGATGTGTACTACACCAATCGTCTGTGGCACATGAGAAGTGCTGACAAACATCAGCGAACGACTGCAGGCTCACTCTTCCCTATTAGTGGGATACTGTGTGACTCTTACCTGGAAACTCTCTGCGGCACACGGGACAGCAGCTCTCCGCTTCCAGCACCTTCACTTCACCCTGGAAAACAGAGCAGGAGAGAAAGCATATCAGAGGTGCAGGTGGCTGAGAATAGCTCGCCGGTGGGATGGACGGATGCTGACAGTACAGACGAGCATCAGGCTGTGACAGCCTCCATACGACTGCCACAGGGGCTCAGATGTTTACACTGAAAATATAGAGTAAAACTGAGAATCCACAGGTAATGTATGACATGTTTTGGTTTGTTTGGCTTGTTATTCAAATATATACACTCTAAAAAATGCTGGGTTAAATGCAACCCAGTGTTGGGTAAAATATGGACAAACCCAGCGATTGGGTTCTTTTGACCCAGCGGTTGGATTAAATGTTAGTAACCCAAATGTTGGGTCAAAACAACCCAATCCCTGGGTTTGTCCATATTTTACCCAACACTGGGTTGCATTTAACCCAGCATTTTTTAGAGTGTACACACACAATGCATATGGGCAGATGACATTTACATTGGAATATGATTATTCAATGTGACCTACAGTGTATCAATCACATTTATGCATCATGCAAAAGTACCTGTCAACTAAGTTTATTTTCTACAAATTTTTCCCATAAGGATTTTTAAAAAGTCTTTGTTTAAGAATTATAAGCAATGAACCAAACCAACCATCCATCTACGAGGCAGGACTATAATTATAATGATAATTATAATGACCTAAATCTAAAACAAAAAAAAATTATAATTTAATTGAAATAAAATAAAATAAAATAAAATAGAATGAACGAACGAACGAATGAATGAATAATAATAAAAAAAATAAATAAATAAAAGAAAGAAAGAAAAATAAAAAATAAAACTTATGTTATCTAGTTGACAAGGTATTTCTCATTTTCATTTAGGTTAACCTGATGTACTAAAATAACTAAAACTGGACTAAAAAACAATAATAAAAAAACTATATAGACATTAAAAAACTGACAAAAGCACACAAAAAAATGACTAAAACTTTAAAAATGAAATATAAAAATAAAACTACATTCTAAACATTAATAAAAACTGCCATATTATCTCAACGATACGAAAATAACACTTCTATTACAAACCCTGATTTGAATAAAAAAAGAATTAAAAAATCGGACAAAGAGACAAAGGCACAAGACAGCTTAGTGAGGGAAACGACTACAGTCGAATTAACTAACAATCAAATTAAGAGCGATGGAGAAATATAGAACTATTCATTTAAAAGTTGTTGATTATATGGTTATCAGTATTTTTATTATTATTATTATTAATTATTTGCATTTGCGTTGTTTGTTTGCAGCTCTCCTGCATTTGAATGCAATTGTTACTCCAGAAACTTTCCAGTGCACTGCATGATTTGAGAGTTTTCACTGTTTAAACACATCAGCATTTTTATACCTCACAATTTATCTGAACTATCTGACTGTTTGCAACTTTGAAAACTCTTTTTATTATATTTCTGGAATTCGGTTTGGTGCCGCCACAGGCAGAGAAATGAAACACTATGAAAGTCCAGTCTGCGTTTATTTCAGTCAGTGATGATTAGTTTGGAATTAAGAGGAACACTCCTTCAGTGAGGTGTGACATTTATGTGCCGGCGGCAGAACTGCAAATTGGGTAATTTGATTTGGACTGAATAAAGAAGAACAAATCGTCTAGGAACCAGAGGGAGTATTTTTAGTTTTTCTTTCAACAGATCTGCTCCCAGTGATCCGCAGGAGCCCAGAGGAGATGTTGGGTTCCTCTGAGACGCTGCAGAAGCTTCGGAGACGTCCAGGCGTCACTCCAGAGCCATCTGGGACATTATCCCTGACCGGAGCTGTTGCCTGGACAACGGGTCGGTCTATTTCCAGCATCTGGTCCTCTAACGGCATCCTGTACTCATTACTGATGCAAGGCTATTCACTGATTATTTGGCCGACGCATGTGAAACCGAACAGCAGCGGATGTCTAACGGAGAATATACCGGAGAAATGTCAAATCTTTCTGTGTGTGAGGTGAAGGAAAGCGAATATGAAAGACAAACAACACATTTCATACCTCAGAGCAGTGAAGGGGAGGACAGTTTGATTGACAGTGTTTCTGGCCATTGATACAGCGACAGGACTGACAGCCATCCACCCACTCGGACCCCGGCTGTGACACACAAAACACACGTTAAATTCATTCATATTTACATTAATGTGCTTGGACAGACACTTCCTACTAAAATAAGTTCTAGATAATATTTTGTGCCTGTGTTTTGCATTTATTAGTGTATTAATAGTAGTATCATAATAGTGTATAATATTCACAATAGTGTATCTGTATATTAAAATATATATAAAAAATTATTTAAAATATATTTATAAAATATGTATAATATTTAATATATATTGCTATTACCATTTTAATTAATACTTTTATTCAGCAAGGATGCATTAAATTGAACAATAGTGTCAGTAAAGACATTTATAATGTTACAAAAGATTTCTATTTCAAATAAATGCTGTTCTTCTGAACTTTCTATTCATCTGTGAATCCTGAAAATTAAAATGTATCGCACTTTCCACAAAAATATGAAGCAGCACAACTGTTTTCAGCATTGATAATAATCAGAAATGTTTCTTGAGCAGCAAATCAGCATATTAGAATGATTTCTGAAGATCATGTGACACTGAAGACTGGAGTAATGATGCTGAAAATACAGCTGCGCATCACAGGAATAAATTATATTTTAACAGATATTCACACAGAAAACAGTTATTTTAAATTGCAATAATTTTTCAGTTTTATCGATCAAATAAATGCAAGAGCAACATAAGAGCAAAAAAACATTCATTTTTTAACAAGTATTAGTTATCATTAGTTCATTATATTTTTAGTTCTTTTTAGAATTTAGAATTTTTAGATTTTTTGTTGTTGTTGTATTTCTTAGAATAACATTGGTCAATCATTCATAATAAAACCAGGAACATGAATTAATAAAGTAAATAGGTATATTTAAGTTAAGAATCAAATACTACAACAGGTTCTTTTGAATGTAGAGTTTGTAAATATTGATCTGCTGTTAATATAGTATTGTGTACTGTATACCATCCATCCATGTTGTGGTGATGGCCTTGTTCCAGCCACAGGAAGTTACATCATCCGTCTCATTCAACCAAACGCTCTTTATACAGAAACTCTTAAACGAGCGCCACTGTAGTTCAATTAGACAACCTCATAAGGCCTTTCAATGTTTTTTTTCATTATTGATGATGGCAATTATCTTTTTTCTACAAATGACCTGAGTGCTAATCCATCAGACTCGTTAATGACCTTCCTTATTAGAATAAATAAACAAAGTAACCAGCACTGCAATTACAGGCTAAAGCACAGCAGTGAGACGGGTGATTGTGTGTTTGTGTACCTCTCGAAGTGTCCCGTCTTCCTCTTCACACTGACACAGTGCTGGAATCACACACCGGCCCTCCAGGCTGCGATACCGGCCCTCCTCACACACACAGCCCTCTGTGACACCGGGGCCCGTGCAGTTGAGCGGTTCAGGGCTGTACAGGTCCAAACACCCCCTCTCACACACTCGCCCCGATCCGGGCTCACTCCAGAGCCATCGCTCACCCTCTGGACACGCTGTATGAACATTAGTTGATAACCAATGGGCTTTAGGGAAGGGCAGATGCTATGTTTATTTATTTTTTTTACTCTGTTTTCTTTTATTATTATTTTTAAATAAACAGAACAGTTACAGTTGCATAAATAAATAAATAAAATTATTATTATTAAAAATAATTGATAAATAAATCCATTTATTATTATTATTATTATTATTAAAACAAACAAATAAATAAATATAAAATAATATAGGTAAAAATTTAATCATTATTATTAAAACAAATAAGTAAAATTTGTTAAATAATAATTATTATTATTAAGCAAATAAATACATTCACATTACCAAAACAAATAAATAAAAATATTAACATTTAATTAATAATTGTATAAAAGTATAAATTATTATTATTATTATTATTATTATTATGCTGCCAAATTTAAAATATATACATTATTTTTATTGTTATAATAAATTAAAACAAATAAAAATAATATTAAAATAACAACAACTACTAATAATAATAATCAATTAATGAATAATAATCATCATCATCATCATCATCACCATAAAAATTATTATTATTAATAATAATAATAATACATTAATAAAATAACGTACACTGCAATTACACTTCTAGTTACTTCAAGGAATACACTACTGGCATATTTCAATTAACTTGAACAAAAATGCTACACCCCAATGTGTTTTCGGTCTGAACACCTCACAAACCCTCAACACTGTGTTTCTCACCACATTCGGGGCCCCTGCAGACTCGTGAAGTGTGTGACGGCCCCTCACACTCCCGTCCTCCGTACTGCCGCTGGCGCCGTATCGTCCGGCTGGAGAACTGCTGTCCAGATCCGCAGGACGCTGAGCAAGAGCTCCACGCTGACCAGCTGCTCCACTCACAGTCCACTAAATGAAAACACACAGCATTCAGACTCTGCTCCATTCACTTCCATTCATAAACACAGGTAAGAGTTCATTGCTCAGAAGTTGTTTCAGGAACATTCTGAAGTTTGTCTCAGATGTTTTAAAAATGGCTCTCAAGTAGGGCTGCACGATAAATCGCATGCGATATTTAACGCGCATCTTATCAGTAAAGCTGTTTCTGTAATCAGCGGTAAATCTCCATCACCTGCGTGCTTTCACATTGAGCAGCATTACCTACACAGAGCCGTTGTTCACGAGCTGCGCAAAACCACATTTATATTCGCGCAATTTTTTGCGCAGCTCGTCAGAGAACAACGGCTCTGTGTAGTTAATGCTGCTCAATGTGAAAGCCCGCAGGTGATGAAGATTTACCGCTGATTACAGAACCGGCTTTACTCATAAGATGCGCGTTAAATATTGTTGTGGAGATAGCTGCTGAATAAACTGAATGTAAATGATAGTCGGAAATTACATACTGCATGTACGTAATTGGACATTAATTTCAATCTTGAATTGATTAATTAGCAGATGTTACTCCTTTACCATCTATTTGTGGTGTAATTAACAACAGTCCTGTATTATTAAACCAGTGTGGTCCCGATGCTGAAGGTGCAACCGTGTAACTCTAGTTTCGGGGAAACAGTCGAGACTACTAGTTAATATGTCCAACAATGCATTGTTATGTGGTAGGGCTGCACGATAAATCGCATGCGATATTTAACGCGCAACTTATCAGTAAAGATGTTTCTGTAATCAGCGGTAAATCTCCATCACCTGCGTGCTTTCACATTGAGCAGCATTACCTACACAGAGCCGTTGTTCACGAGCTGCGCAAAACCACATTTATATTCGCGCAATTTTTTGCGCAGCTCGTCAGAGAACAACGGCTCTGTGTAGTTAATGCTGCTCAATGTGAAAGCCCGCAGGTGATGGAGATTGACCGCTGATTACAGAACCGGCTTTCTGACAAGATGCGCATTAAATATCGCATGCGATTTATCGTGCAGCCCTACTCTCAAGTCAATAGTCGCCATACAGTAAGAATATGAAGCTACAAAAATAATGTTTGTGGGACCCTCTGTGTCTCTGCTGTGAGTGTATGAGGTCACATGACTCACCATCACATGACTCGTTAGTGCAGGTAAAGATCCCACCTTCACAGACACTGTAATTAAACATAAACACTTATTAATCTTTCCATGCTTGATGTTACAGCTTTCTTAGAAATGTTTTCCAAGACAAAAACATCCACCCCCAAAGTTTTTAAAATATATTCAGCATAAATTATACAAATACATAAATATATTTAGCATGAATAAATATTAAACAAACAAATAAATAAATAAGCCTTACAGTATTACCTTACAGTAATGAGAATCAGTATTGTGAATCATGGTAAATAAAATGTACAGGTGCATTTTGTTAATGATAAGTTAATTATTATAAAAATGTTTCAAAATAGGCTTAATTTTTTTATGGAAAAATACAGTACATTTTTCCTTTTGATTTATGAGCATGTATATGAATCAAATATGCACATATTTTGAATTCTGAATGGTTATTCTTGTCTATTATATTGTCAGCTGTTCCATCCAGAGCATCAGATTCTTTCAACAATGTCAGACTGACTTTCTGAACATCTTGCCGATATTTTATGTCCAAAGAGAGGATGTGGATTTCACTTCACCACACTGAGACGCTCTTAGAAAAGCCTGATTGAGATCCATGTGTCACTGAATATCAATCCAATAACCACAGCAGCTCTTTCTGTTAGAGATCATTTACACATGAAACACAAACCGTGCACAGAATGAATGTGAAGTACCATGAGTTGCAGGAGTCTGGAATGACGGTTCCTGCAGGAACTTCCTGTTCCTGGAGGTCCAGGGTGAGGTTTTGGGACGTCAGCGGGAGCGAGACCACAGAACAAGGACACTGGGATTGAGGAACACAGCTTCCATTCAGCATCACCTGCAGATGGATGATGTGATTAATAACGTCCTCATATTCATGTGGGACTCGTACAGCCATCTGTGTCCAAATTACACTTCCAAAAATACAGAGCCGTCAGGAGCAGACGTGAACACAGTACACTCCTCAAATCACACTGTTTGCTGCAGTCTGGAATAACAAACTAGATTTATATGTTTTCAGAAGACAATGGGCTGTGTTTGCCTGTGCAAATGCTAACGTGTTGCTAGGGAGCTGTGGTGGTTGCCAGGGTGTTGCTATGGAGGTTTAGGAGAGGACGTTGGAATGTGGTTGTTAGGGTCTTCTGGAAATTTGCAAGGACATTGCTATGGGGTTGCTAGGGTGTTCTAGGAAGCTGCCAGGGTGCTGCTGTAGAGTTGCTAGGCAGGTCTAGGTGAGAACGTTGCTATGGGGTTGCTTGGGTGTTGTGGGAATCTGCAAGGACGTTGCTAGGGTGTTTAAGGACGCTGCTATGACGTTGCTAAGGAGGTTTGTGCTAGAACGCCGCTATGAGGTTGCTAGGGTCTTCTGAGAATTTGCTAAAACGTTGCAATGGGGTTGCTATAGAGTTGCTATGGAAGTTTTCTAGGAAGATTTTACGACATTGTTATAGGGTTGCTATGGTGATTCCATAGTGTTTCTAGGGTGTTTTAGGAAGCTGCTAGGATATTGTTATAATGTTGCTTGGGTGTTCAGAATATTTTTAGCATGCTACTATCTGGTTTCAAGGGTGTTGCTATGTGGTTTGAAGATTGTTGCTAGGTGGTTTCTAGGGTGTTGTGCGTGGTTTCTAGAGTGTTACTAGGTGGTTTCTAGGGTATTGCTGGGGAATTTCTAGGGTATTGCTAGGCAGCTTCTAGGGTGTTGTGTGGGATTTCTAGTGTTTTACTAGGCAATTTTGAGTGTGTTCTGTGCGGTTTCTAGGGTGCTGCTAGGCAATTTCTAGGGTGTTGTGTGTGGTTACTAGGGTGTTGCTAGGCGGTTTCTAGGGTGTTATGTGGGGTAACACAAACAGATTGACTCACGGCTCCAGGCGGGCAGCTGCACCCAGGACTGCAGGTCAGCGGCACACACTGATTTTGGGGCCACAGATCCTCACAACTGTACGGACAGGATCCTGCACAAGAGCTGAACACCTGACCAGCAGGACAATCTGACACAGAGAAAACCAAACCACCGTTACACACAGCATCCCGATTAGCATTCCATTTACACAGATGACAGATTATTATTTGTGGCTGAACTACAGTAGTTTAAACACACATGATTTGTTGGTGCCGGTCTGATGGAGCCACTGCAGGCCCTTTCAGTGACTGGCTGCTGAAGTTCATTAACAGTAGTAATCAAATGAGTCAAGCTGCTTAAACAACTCTGGAGGGGAATCTGTTTAAGACACACTTCATTCCTCCTGAAGGCTTATCGCACTGTTTTAAATGAGTCTATCAACTCAAACTTTATTCTGTCTTATCATCTAAAACACAATTAATGAACAGTCTGCATGGCCGTCACACGCCGCATGATTCAGTTGAACTCCTAGCAGATTCTTCTCCACATTCTCAGATGCTTTAATGCAAATCAGTGCCACTTTTAATATTTTGTGTATGCTTGTCTCGAACTGAAATTAGCATAAAATTGCACACAAGAGGACCAGTAAATTGCTGAAACTGTAATGTAGCTAAATGGAAGGTAAATATTTTCTGTAAGAGCTTGTCTGTGCGTGGGTGTGTTAGAAAACACACACAGACACACACACACACACACACACACACACACACACACAAACACACACAAACACACACACACACACACACCTGCTTATATTCAGCTAAACATCATTAAACCATAAATAAATATATATACTGTATATATATATATATATATATATATATATATATATAGGTACATATATATATATATATATATACTGTACATACACACATCCATATATTAACCTATTATAATATGCTATTAACCGCATTCAGTTCACAGTGTATCATTTTAAATAGAATTCAATAATCTGATTCAAATGTATTGTGTGTTTGTGTTTTTGTACATTTTTACTTTTTACATTGTGTCGTTATTTAAATGACAATTAAGCACATTTACCCCTCATTTCATAAACAACTAAACTGCAAACAATGACTGTCATTTGTAAATTATATGCATAATAGTATGCATAATGCAAATTACATTAATGTCCTGAAATGATGATTTTTAAGCAGAATGAAAAAAGCATTTATTTGCATCCCAACAATATGAATTTGTAAAGTAAATATTATTAATTTGAATGAAAATGTCACAATCAATATATCAATAAATAAATCTGAATAGTCCTAAAAATAAGCTTAAAGGTCCCCTGAAATGCTTAGAAACACGCAGCGTTACTCTGTGTTGACGTCATTTTAACTGAAACAGGAAAGACTAACATATTGATACTAACACCCAAAAAACTTTAATTTTGATTTCATGGGGACTTTAATGCCAAATATAATTTCTTATTTTCCTTGTGATTTTCTTTGTAAAGCAACACATACAGGCAGCCTGAGTTATGAACATGTGCGGTCATGTTTTATGACAATATAAACTGAAATGACAGACGCTTTACAGGTATTATATGACCGTTTGAAGATTTTTATAGGTGCACTATAACACATCATAAGTGTTTCTCCTTCACTGAAGTGTGTTTGAGTTTGTGTTTATCTGTCAGGTCTGTACTTCAGCTGGTTTTGTGTGTTTATGGATGTGTTAGCTGTACCGGGCAGGCAGCTGTTGGTGTTGCATGCGGTGTGTTGTTCCAGGGGTCCGGGGCAGATCAGACCCCCAGGCTCTGGCTCCTGTAGGACCGTCTTCCTGCGCAGTGACACTCCTCCACCACAGGAGGCGCTGCAGTCAGTCCAGGCTGACCACTGGCTCACCACACAGCCGGCTAACAGATCGACAAAATCATATCGGCCTATATAATCTACACTTTACAAGATACAAGTCCATTAAAATACATGTCAAGCACAAATGAATATTCTGAATATATATATAAAATTATATATATAAAAAATACTTTTTTATAAATGTACAAAAATAAAGAAAACACTTCCAAAAAACCCCAAACTAATTGGTTTCCACAAAAACTTTTTTGTTGTTGTTTATTGAAAATTAATCTGTTGCTGTTAATTTGATAAACAGAAAATAACAATTACCAAAAATGTAAAAATAAATAAATAACATAAAAAGTAAAATATCAAGCTATTTATTCAATAAAGCTACTTATATTTTCCCATTATAAAGAAAAAAAACTAATTGAAAAACTGTGAATGTAACTTTTTATATAATTATTTATAAACAAATTACCAAAATGTTCAAATCTATGTAAAAAGTTGTTATGCAAATGAACTTTGCATGTATTGTGATATGAAATATGTGACAAAATGTTCATATCTGTTAAAATATTTTTATATTACTATAAAATATCAAATAGTAAGAATATATATATTGTGTGTGTGTGTATATACACATATAAATTTTTTTTATTACATTTTGGTATATATTTTGTGTAAAATATTTTGTAATTTGCATGTTGTGTTTTTAAATATTTTAATTATTATTTTTATGCAAATGAATTTAGCATGTTTTGTGACTTAAAATAGGTGCCAAAGTCTTGTTTTGTTTTTATATTTGTTAACATATTTTCATATTTCTATAAAATATCAAATAGTAGCTATATATAAACTACAATTTGAATTAAAATATGCATTAATTTACATATTTGAATTTAAATGTGTAGATTAACGCTGCCCTGTTCTGTTGGCTTACCTGGACAGGGCAGCAGTGAGCAGCTTTCACTCTGGATGGAGTCGGCGCAGGTCGGTCCTCCGGTCGTGTGTTTGCAGGACCGTCTGCGTGTCCTCTGTCCCTCTGTCCCACACGACACCGAACACTCACTCCACGATCCCCACGGACCGTAGACCGGACACACGTGATCCGTACACACCAGAGAGCCATTTACACACACACTGCAGAGACAGAGGTTTGTGTCAAATGTAATGTTTGTGTGTATATGTATTCATGTAGATATGCAAGTACTTGTTAGAGCCACACTTTTTACAAAAACATCCTCACAAATGCAGTAAAACCTGCTAAAATCTGACTTGTGAGAACATTCTGAGGTCCACACTAAGGCTATTACTGGTAACTAAAACTAAAAATGTATAAATAAACAAATAACTTAATAAATAAATAACATTACAGTTAGTTGTCAAGGCATCATTTCTCATTTTCTTTTATAGTTCTTGAAGTACAAAAATAACTAATACTGAAATAAAAATGAATAAGTACTAAATAGACATATTTAAAAACAAAAGACAAAAACACATAACTAAACCACAAAAACTTGAGATGAAAACAAAAAATGTTAAAGTAAAAAAAGTCAAAATATTAATAAAATCTGTAATAGTATATCAATGATACAAATAACATGGGTCCAAACTAGTAAAAATGGGATAATAATAATAATAATAATAAATAATGTCTTAAATATTTATATGCATCTGTGCAGTTCTGCTGATGTTTGAGTTAATATTAATATTAAAAGTTTTTAATAAAGTTAATATAAAAAAATTAATTTAATAATATTTCAGAAATAATACACACAGTAAATACAAAACATTGCAATTATGTAATTATAAATTATAAGTAAAAAATAACTAAAAATTAAATAATAATAAAAATAATAATAATAAGAATAAAAATATAGACCTTTTTAGACATAAGAATAAAAATGTAGACATATAAAAAAAACTCACTAAAACCTTTAACTGAAAACAAACGAACAAAAAAACATAAAAATACAAAATAAATTAAAATATTAATAAAAACTATAATATTTGATCAATGATACTAAAATAACACTTGTCCAAACTAGTACAAATTTGATCACAATAATAAATGTCAAATAATGTGCCAACTGTTTGTGTGCATTTGTGCAATTCTGTTATTGCTTAATGTTTCTTTACATTGATAAATCTATAATAGTATATCAATGATACAAATAACATGGGTCCAAACTAGTATAAATGGGATCATAATAATAATAATAAATAATGTCTTAAATATTTATATGCATTTGTGCAGTTCTGTTGATGTTTAAAAAATTATAATTAAAAATGTAATGTAATAATATTTAATATTTCAGAAATAATACACACGTTAAATAAAAAACATTGCAATTATGTAATTATAAATATAAGTACAAACATGAAATAATACAAAAATATTAATAAGAATAAAAATATAGACCTTTTTAGACATAAGAATAAAAATACAGACATATAAAAAAACTCACTAAAACGTTTAAATGGAATTTTTTTTTTTTTAAATATTAATAAAAACTATAATAGTATATAAATTATACTAAAATAACACTTGTCCAAACTAGTAAAAATGAGATCACAATAATAAATATTTGTGTGCATTTCTGTAATTCTGTTAATGTTTAATGTTTCTTTACCTTCAGCACAATATTTCAGAAAAGCGTCCCCATACATTAACAGAATCTGACACACCCTCCCATCTGGGACGTCCTGTAAGGTAAACCGGATCCATAAATAAATAAGCTCCTCTCACCAGGTGTTGCAGCTGAGGGTGATGTTCTCTCCGGGTCGGATCTCCAGCGTCCCGTTCTCCAGCGGAAGCCCACAGCGACACTCGTCCACCCGCACACACCCTCCGTCCTGCAGCAGCCGGCCGTCTGGACAGCGGCAGCCTGCGGCACAGAAACACACTCACATTCCCCGCTTCATGCGTATGTTTGTGGCAGAGGTCAGAGAAGCGCTGATACCTGGATGACAGGTGCCCTGCAGACACTGGACGTGATCCCACAGGTCAGCGCAGCTGCGGGGACACTGATTGGCACAGGAGTCGTCATAGACCCGCCCCCTGTCCTCACAATGCTCGCCTATATCAAACACAGCCACTATATAAAAACTACATGAACTATATGCAGGTACACACTAAATCAGTTACAATAATTACAAATTATAGTTACTGATTATACTTCGATAATATTTACAGGATGTCTATAATAAGTATGTGTGTGTACCGGGACAGAGGCCAGTGTTGCAGCTCTGAGACTGCGTCTGTAGGTTCCTGCAGTGTGGTCCGGGGTCAGAGGTCAGAGGTCGGCGCTCTCTCTGCCGGTATCCTCCGCTGCAGGGGTCTCTACACACACTCCAGCCGCTCCATGAGCTCCAGTGGCACACATCTGAGCAGAGACACACAGACAGCACCACACTCAGCTTCTCTCACCATATTAATCAGGTCATGATGACACTGCAATCTACATTTCCTGGACCGGTCATATCATATTTCAGACTATTATACTTTTTATTGGTATTTTGAATTAGCTTTTATTTTGTGTATTTTCAGTTTTTGTAATTTTGCTACAGGATTTTGTCATTAA